TATTTAAAAGGAAAAGTAATTAAACCGATCGAGGGTAGACTCGATCGTCGTTCTATGCACCACGGGCAACGCGCAATTAGCAACATAGAGAATTCGGTGGGGTTTGCGATCGTGTATATATATAATCGATGTGTCTATTCGGGGAGCTCGCAGACGCCACGGTTAAAAAGAGATTTCGAGCAGAGAAACGCGCAAAAGCGAGAGAGAATTTAATGGAGAGAATAAAAAAACCGGAAAAAAAGAAAAAAAGAATCGCTTGACAAGGATAAGCAGCTTTCGGCCCCCAATATTAATGTAGTTCCGCGTAATATTTATTGACGCCGTGTTGCGTGCAACAAGGTGGACCTTTTTCCCTTCTGTTTTCATTAATTGTCCAATAAATATTTTTTACAACTGTATACCGTGTAGTCGGACTGCATTTCTGGTGATCAGAGTGAACCTTCAAAGGAGCCTGTACACGATCGATATTTTTTCATAATTCGATTCTTTTGTCGAACGATTTCGTTGAGACTTAACGTGTAACGCATTTAAGAAACGGTTTTCGTCGTAGAGAACATCGTGTAGGGGCCTCCTCACGTTTTCCATCAACTACAATGTCCTTTAGAATATTTCTACGTTACGTCGACGTTTTACTTTCTTTTTACGAACGAGAAAAAGAAAGGAAAAGAATGTTGTACGCAGTGCTTTCATTTCCCAATTGGCATATGATCGAGCCACGTCCTCGCACGCTCATGCGCCGAAGAGTTCCTGACTGCCTGTCACTCTCCGGACAGGTGTCGATAGTTTTCGTATACCTTTCTAGGGTACTTGTGTATCTATCTAAAATACGTAACGAAAATGGGAACGGTGGCCCATCGCCGCTCCAATCCAGGCAAACGCGAGGTCCGTCACTCCGTGTACTGTGACTCGAACGCGTTCATCATCCCCGAGCAAACTCAAACTAACCGTCTTTTTTACGATGCGAATGAAAATATACAAAGGAAACAAAAGAAGAAAAACGAAAACGAGAAAAAAAGTACGAGAGCGAGGCAGAGGGAGAGGCGAGAAAACGATTTCATATCGGTATAATAGCGAGAGATCATTTGCTACACTCGATAAGATCACGCGTGCCGTATTATTCCTGACGTTCCGACACCAAAAACTAATATCTAGACTGCGGATGTTCATGGAAATCGAATCTGGAGCATCCACCGACGAGGGGAGATTTTCGAAGATTTTCATTCGCCGTACTAGAAATCCGATTCTGGTCAAATCTATAATTTATCAACGTTCGCTCGATCCAGAGGAGACTCAACCGATCCACGAACGTCCGCAGTGAATCGTTCAAGCGTTTTCTATCGGCTTTATTTTTCAGCGAACAGTGATCGTCTAGCGTCGTACACGAGATCTCGATTTTCAACTTGACGCCCACGTTGAATCGTCCGATACTTCGAAGCTGTACATCCGCGATGCATTTGTAAATACAATTAACCCCGCGATCAGTAGCGCGTAATTGCTTCCCCAACCCCCCCTTCGACCAATCGACGGTCGAAACGGCGTCGTCAATGTTGCAGATGATGAGTCCGATTTCTTTTCAATTCGATTACAAAGTTTCCTAGAATGCGCGGTCTCGTCGATAACGGTTCCGCTCTACGTGAAGACTGATAGATCCCGACGAACACGCGACGAGAACGAGCGCGTAACGACGATTGCGCGATTCGAAAAATAGAAAAGAAAAAAAGAAAATAAAAAGATAAAGAATTAAACGAAACCGTTCGAATCGGAATGCGATTTGTTTAGACGGGGAGGAGAAACTCGATCGTTCCAGTCGTCGACGAACGTTTTTACTTTTAGAAATTTACCTCGCGGGTCAACAATAGTACTTACCGGGAGAGTGTGTTCTTTGATTTCGGCTCGGGTGATCCCGCGACGGGGGTGGGCGCCACCCCCGCCGCGGCGGCCACGAACCACGCGGTAACCAGAC